CATGTTTCATGTGCCTGAACTGTGATGATTGCAAACTAAGTGCCAGCTCATGCCAACGCTTCCATGCTGCTGCGGACCACAGAGATGTTAGAGTATACTCATACACGCATATTAGGGATGTTAGTGTATAGTCAGCTAAACAATAAGCCTGGGTTTATCAGATAATCCAAACTACTACATAAGCAGGCGCGCACACACCCACCCTTTGCTGTTTGTGTATAGAGACAGCAAGGGGGGAGGAGGCTTTTAAACCAGCTCCCTGTGCGTGATGGTTCCTGTGACGCTGCCTGCTCTCCCACCCCAGCTGCCTCCCCCAGAGGCAGCAGCGTAGGTGTCATTTGGGAGCTGGAGGCTCTGTGGAGCCGCTTGATGCCTGCCTTCTCCTCCCCCCAGTACTGCTGCCTTTGTATCAAAGGCGGCAGTGCAGGACTGCAGGTGGGAGCTAGTCTGAGGGGGAAGCCAATTTTTAAACCAGTACGGAGGCAGCAGCATGTTGTGGCAGGGGGCTTCTCAGGAGTGAGGCTGGGAGTGCACTGGCTGCTTTAGCAATGGTGTAGTCACTAAAAATTGTTACTGCTACACGATTACTAAAACAGCTGATATTTAACATCCCTATGCCATACAGAGTAGAATGAGTCTGGCTCACCTCTTACTAGCATTAAATAGGTATTGGCATTAAAGGCTACGTCTACACTTGCGCAAGAAGCTGCCAGAACTCTTTTGCGGAAGAGTTGTTTTGCAAAAACTCTCCCAGAAGAGAACGTCTACACTGGCATGTGCCTTTGTGCAAGAGATGTGCTTTTGCGCAAGAACATCCATGCCAGTGTAGACGCTTTCTTGCGCAAGAAAGCTCTGATGCCCATTTTAACCATAAGGCTTTCTTACGCAAGAAATTCACGTTGCCTCTCTACACTGGCCTCTTGCGCAAGAACAGTTGTGCAAAAGGGCTTATTCCTGAGCGGGAGCGTCAGAGTTCTGGCACAAGAAGCACTGATTTCATACATTAGAACATCAGTTTACTTGCGCAAGTACACGCGGCCAGTGTAGACAGGCAGCAAGTTTTTGCGCAAGAGCGCCCGCTTTTGCGGAAGATCGCACCATTGTAGACACAGCCTTAGTGTTTAGCTTTTTAATGCATGCAGCCACTTACAAGCATTTGATAACATCTCTAGCCTAACGATAAGATACTACTTAAGTGTTTGCTTTGTAAATCACCAGCCTGGACAGAGACCTGAATGAATATGAAATGCTGCCTTCTAACCAGAAGGTGGTAGGTCATGGCCAGCAGGAACTGTACTTTGCTGCACCTTGCCTCTAGACAAACTAGCCTTGGACAAAAGAGTTCCTGCTTGCTTGCCTCCTGCGTTGGTACATTTTTATGAATAGAAAAAGAACATGAGAGTAAAACTCAGTTTCCCATTCTGGTCTGGGGGCAATGGTACTATGCCACCAGAGGCAGATTAAGGTTTCAAGGGACCCAAGGTCAGAGCAAGCGGCTGGGAGAGCCCTCCCTGTGCCATCAGTTTACGGCACCACCCCAATTCTGCCCCCCCCCATTGTGCCTCTTCTGCAGCCTTTGCTCCTCTTCCACTCATGCTCCTGCCCTGTTCACAAGCCCCCATCCTCCTCCAAAGACTAGATAAGCGTTGGTCATGGCAGGGAGCCAGCACTTCTGGGGTGTCCGGTCTGCAGTTTGAATGCTGGGGCTTTTTCCGCCCTGTTCATTACATCTGCTTGGGAGCAGAGTAAGCATTTGGGGGGAGGGGCAGGCTCCCCCAGTTGTCCAGGGCCCCTAGGCATGGGCCCTATCAATCCAGTCGTTAATCCACCACTGCACGTATTTCTTCTAGAGCCTGCCTGCCCTGAGGGAAGGCAAAGCAGCTCCCTGTGACTGAGGAAGAAGCGATCAGCCATACAGCAGAGGCCCCTGTTACCTAAATGGGTCCTGCGGGAACCTAGCCTGGCAGGCCATGCGCTGGTGCCAGCCTGGCTGATCACACCTCTTTTGACTGGGACTAGCACAATCCATGAATGTGCTGCCTGTCGGACACAGTCACCTCACAGGGCATGGGAGAATGGGTCTGTGGAAGTGTTAAAGGGGGTGGGATGCTGGGCAGGGTGCTGTTTTGGACACTGTGCAATTGGGTCTTGGGGGATGGTACTGGGCATAGGGAGTTAAGGGGTTACTGGGCAGAGATGGTTGGTGTGGTGCATGGCACAGGCCTGCCCCTGAGAAAAAGAGGCTTGGTAGCCCTGCAGAGCTGGATGGGCCAGTGTGTGTCTGGCACAGGTTGCCACCTGTAGCCCACAAAGGTAAATAGGTTGATGAACCTCAGGTGTATGTTTACCTGCTTTAATCTTGTACATAACTATTTCCCTCGCCTTGTTAATAATTTGTGAGCAGTTAATTCAGAGTGTGGGGATACGTTTAAGATGAACTTGACCTGTGGTAAGCGACTGGTGCTTCGGGACTGGGAGTAACATGAATATTGTGATTTTTTTTTTTTATGTATGGGACTAAAGGCAGGCTTGCCTAGGTGATTAAGGAGCTCTGACTCCTGCATTAGTCTGTTTAGTGCCTGAGGCACTTACTTACCCAGTTGTTACAGCTCTCCCCAGCCTATCATCTAAAATACTGAGCAGCCTCACCTCACACTGGCTTCAGCCGTACTGTCTACTAGTTGAATGGCAGCTTCCTCATTAGGGCTGTTTTATGTGGTGTGAAACTTTGTAACCGCTTTTGTTTAAAAAAACCAGGTGCTGGCAAGCAAATAAATGTTGCAATGACATCACTATGCCAATGGAGCCTGTAGCCAGCCAGACACGGGGGCTGGGGGGGGGGGC